AAAAAGGCTAATTGCAAATCGTTATGCTACCAATAAAGCATGCATATGGATCCGTATATGTACCCAGAATGTCAGCTAGCTATAAAAGTGGGTACTACAGGAATGACAAATGCTTAACATGGATACATAAAGGCGGATACATCAGGGACCATTGCAACCCCAAAAATGAATTTCTCAAACAAATGCAAATCCGACCAAAGATAATGTAATTTCCTTTGTTTTATTCACTTCATGAATGATTAAACAGGTTTACGACTCTTTCTCATCAGTTTTCAATAGCCAAATTAGATTATTTAAGGGCTACAATCCTAAATAAATAAAAATAAAAAATGGCTAGACCTGGGCTGAGAGATTTTGAAATCCTTTTTCGTCACCAGAACTCCGTGTCACTACAGCCGGTGGATTAAGCCTGGAAGCGAATCTTATCAGGCGTTGACGCGACAAGCTTGAGTCCCATAAAAATTGTGGCCACTCATGAGGAGCCAACGTTTCAGGACCAAGGTCCCAAGAAAGGGGCTTCTAAAAAAAGGTTAAGTAAAATATAGATTTGTAATCAAAAAATTCATTTTTAAGTTTTGGCGCCTAAAAATGTCCATAGATAGTAAAAATAAGTAGTCGACTATACTTGAGCTTTGATAACAAGAAGCAAATCCGAATGACAGACCACATTTTAAAAATAAAAAAAGCTTGACATAAAGGATAAAGATCCAAGAGTGACAAACCTTAGATTCGAGTGTGAGCACCGTTAATACGAAGATGAGGTAATCGTAATTTTGCTGGACAGTCGGACATTTTGCAGAAGACATTTTGAGAATTTCTTTATCCCAATCTATCTTGCAAACTTCTCGACCAGATGGAGTCGATACTGCAAGATAAAGAAAGCGAGCACGTGCCTCTTCACTCAAATTAAGATTAGACATTGGGACCTGAAATAAATATTTGAATAAGATCCTTGTTAAGTTATACAAAACGACGCAAGTGATTAGACTGTTAACTCCGCCCACCTTCATCTTATAATATTAGAGGCGTATTGAGTTTTGGGGATTGCCTGCTATAAGGTATAAGATAATTGGCTAATAAGTAAGATAAATAAGGTTGAAGGATTTAGTTTGGTAATAATTTACTTCTAAAATGGTGTAAGGTGATGAAAAACAGCATCATTCATCAGAACTTATTTATATTAATATATTATAGTAGAATAATATAGGATCTGTTATCCACAAAATCTGATGTAAAACAAATAATTTTTCCAGCACTACAAGACATACCGATAATTCTACGACTCTTGCACGAGGGTCTCTGATGGAAGGTCCTGTAAAGACATAATTCTTGTGAGATACTATAATGGGATAGACGGTATGGATATTTGTGTCTTTCAGCTTCGCAGGCCATTTTGTAAGAAATTCTAGTGTAAAATATCACATGCACGTACTTTTAAGACTATCACAGTGAAGCTTAATATGGTTTTGTGTAAGATGTAAGAAGTTCGGAATTTTCATGAGCTCTGAGTTAGCATACTTATCAGGTGTGATACCACCATTCTCTTCATGATTCTAAAAATATACACGGGTTGCGCAAAACGATACCCTCGAATATCCTTGCCGTAAGGGAAGAGGGACGACAGAATGTTTAAAAATAGCTGGTGCAGGCCATATGTTGTTCCAATCAAACGGTAAAGAGAAAAATTCACATCTTGCATTGACTTTCTGCGAAAATATATGGTAATATGGTTACTGGAGGCTTAGGTTTGATGTTCTCGCGTAGCTTAAATTTTGTTAAGCCTGGAATATCTAACGGAATAAAATTTGAAGTTCTATCAGATGAATTCTGATTGGATAAATGCCTCGACCACTGGGAGGCAGCAAGGAAGGAGGGGAAACGAAAGGCAACTAAAAGCATATTTTTAATTGGAGCGCTCAATAATTTCTCTTTAACCTAAAGCAAAATGTTTATCTGGAAATTTTTTATTGTTTTCTGAAA